TCTCTCTCTCTACGACCGTCCTCCGAGTCTTCACTGCCCTCTGTCAAAAGAGTCACTTGAACACCGGGAATTATAATTATACCGGAAGGTGAAGTTGCCCCAGCTGGCAGCTGGTCAGTCCGACACGGCTTCTGAGACGCTATGCGACCCGATACTACTTACTGTTCTTTAGTTCTTTAGTTCTTTAGTACATATCACATATCTATTCCCGAGGACGGTCAACCCATCCGTGTCCTCAGAGGTTTTCGAATCTCGATAAGGGTCAAGGTCAAGGTCAAGAACATCTGAATAATCAATAATCAAACCCCGGGGAAAGTCAACTTACCGCTCACATTAGTACATTAGTACATTAGTACATTTTGCTATCCGTCGCAAAGATGGTCATTGGTCAGTGCCTGGTCCTAGTAGTCAACAGTGGGCTAACACTGCACTGGTATGGTATGTATTCCTAATGGAACCAGGACTCACGTTCACGATTTTATGTATTTATGTCGGCGCTCAGGCTAGCTCTCGAATCTTTTGCCTCCTCGTGAGTACTTACCTGTTGTCACCTTGCAATTCCAAGGTTAACATACATACATATCATATCTTGAACTTCTTGAACTCTGGAACTCTTGAACTCTGGAACTCTGGTCAATTACATTACCTACATTACCATTACCTTACAGAAAATGAACTCCGGCTTAGTACTTAGTACTTTACGAACCACCCATCCTCGAAATATTAATAACGGTAGGATTCATGATTCAATACGAACGAACGACCCGTGTTTTCCTCCCCTTCATTCATCATTCATCATTCATCATAAACGCAATGAACGCACAACGCACAACGCAACGCAACAAAGAAGCATGGTCAGGATGCATGGTCAGGATGCATGGTCAGTCAGGATAATTCAATTCAATTCAATCCGATCGAAGAATTCGCTTCGATTCGCGGTTGGATATGTTATATTATCTATATCTTCGAATCTTCGAATCTCGAGGTTCATTTTATTTCATTTCCGTGGAAATCCATTGACCCTTGATAGCTTAGCTTAGCTCGTAAGTAGTAAGTAAGTAAGTAAGTAAGTAAGTAAGTAAGTAAGTAGTATTGAACCTTGAACCTTGAACCTGGGAGGCAGTTTTGCCAGTTTTGCCAGTTTTCTTTGCTATCGAGCGGATTAGTAGTACCGTGGATTTGATACTTGATACCCTATGTACCTATGTCCTTGGTATTACCCCGTCTGACAGACACCGGACACCGTTTTTTCTTTCGTTCAATGGAGGATTGTAAGATAATTGACACCCAAGAACAAGGGAAAGCAAGCAACAAAGAAAAAAAGAGGACAATCGGCACGAAATAATGACAAGTTCTTTCCTCCAATTTGAGACCCGCGTTTTCGTTTTCGTTTCCTGACTTACAAACCCGTTTCGTTTCGTTTCGTTTCGCGAGGTATGTTAATTGAATGATTTTCTTGGATGTATTACTATACCCTGCTGTTAAGTAAGTCCCATTTTCTTACAGGTAAATAAAATACCCTAAGTACTTACTTACTGCTGATACTTTTTGATCTTAACTTTTTGATCTTATCTCAAGTTTGAAGTGACAAGTCCGACGACATCCGATGGCATTCTGCCAACTAAATTCTCCCTTTCCCTTTCCCTTTCCCTTTCCCTTCCTCTGTCATCAATCATGCGAGGGATGCTCGGGTGTCGTGTTGAACGAATGCGCGATTGACGACGAAGCATTACTTTTACCATTACCATTACCATTACCATTACCATTACTCTTACTCTTACTCTTACCTCCTGTTCTAAGTTCTAAGTTCTAAGTTCCAAGTTCTAATCAATCCACACCATAACACCATAACACCATAACCAAGGTACATCATACATTCCATAACCAAGGTACATTATACATTATACATTATACATTCCCGTGCGTTACCCAACTTGTCCCAAACGTAGTCCTCCCAATAGTCAAGTCTCCCATACCCATACCCATACCCATAGGATGGCGAAACAGAAACAAGCTTGGTTAACCAAGAACCAAGAACCAAGAAGCAAGCAAGCAGGAAAGTTCTTTTCGCTCGAACGTTGAACGTTGGACATCTTATCGCCTTTACACGTCACGAACATCACGAACCAACGAACCAACGAGAATCATCACGAACCAACGAGAATCATCACGAACCCATCACGGTGTGTATGTAGTATGGCCGGGGGGTGGACACTGGGGATCTTCGTTTTCTCGGCGTTTCATCATCCCTGCAATGCAATGCAATGCAATGCAATGCAATGTAATGAGGTGAATGAGGTGTGTTTGACTAGCGTGCGAAGTTTCACTTTCACGTCAAAGTGTGTGGTTCGTGGTTCGTGGGTTCTTGTGTTCATAGAGGTTCATAGGGGTTCATGGTGTTCATGGTTCATGCCCTCCCCCTCCCTCCCCCAAATTCGAATCGTGTTTTCTGCCAACTGCCAATGCACGCAGCTTCGGAATTCATTCATCAAACATGAGATGATGAGAATGAGATGAAGAGAATGAATGAGAATGAGATGAATGAGAATTGAGAATGAATGAAATGAAGAGAACGAGATGAAGAGAACGAGATGAAGAGAATGATTCTGAAACTGATTCTGAAACTGGTCCTTCTCTGTTACCGTGGTTGCAAACACACAAACACAGTCAGCTTGCTGCTGATTTCACTTTACGCAGATACGCAGATACGCAGATACGCAGGATTCGGGTCGATGTATAGTATAGTATAACGATAAAAGAAGAAGTCCCTAGTCTGATATTCATATTAAATATTAAAGATAAGTAAGTAATTAAAGATAAGTAGAGGCAAGTAGGAGCCTCAAAGTAGCTCAAAGATGCTCAAAGTGCTCTTCGGCGAATCCGCCTCGATATGAACGTAATCCTTGACGCAAAAGAAGATTTGCAACGCCGACGCCGTTGAGTTGACAGTTGACAGTTGATCGATAATCTTTACACAACTCAACTCGACTCGAGAAATGAGTTTTTGGATGTAACGGATCGCGGATCGCGGATCGCAAAGCCGGGTTTGGTTATGAGAGAAAGGAGAGAGAAAGAAGAGAGAAAGAATTGAGAAAGAAGAGAGAAAGAAAGAAGAGAGAAAGAAGAAGAGAAAGAATTATGGGGTCGTGGAACGGTGTAAGACAAATGGGGATTTCATGGGGACAAGCTTTAGCGAGGTCACGAATACGAAAAACGGGCCCATTATTATTACTTATTAAAACGTCCGCCCCGAGTCCAAGTCCGTCGAGAATCCCAAAAAAACGTAAGTAACTGTTACACCCACCGCTGCGCGGCAATCAAACGTGTTCTAGAATCTAAATAACCTTTCAATCAAGAGAAGCTCAAGGAAAGAGCCCACACACTTTTTCATGCGATTTTTTTTCTTCTTCTCTCTCTTTCTGTTTACTTACCCTCTCCTAGGACCTACTCTAATCCTGATAGGTTAAAAAAACTGCCCTCTCTCTCTCTCTCTCGAGTCTCGCTGTCTCTCTCGCTGAGCTCAACCCTCAACGTTCAACGTTCAACCCTCTTCTTCTCTTTCTTTCTTTCTGGACCCCTCACCCCTCACTCTTCACCCCTCACCCCTCACCACTCACCCCTCACTCTTCTTCTTCGCCCCTCACCACTCACCGCTCACTCTTCTTTTAACATGGCTGGTAGATTGTGGATCTCACTCTGGTTCATCCTAACCGCACCATTGATGTTATGGGATGCTGGGTTTTGTCTGATGAGGTGTGTGTGTGTGTTTATCATAATCACTTATATATACCCACTTTTCTTTCTTTCTTTCTTTACGCTCTTTACGCGTTCATTCATTCACTAACCAATCTATTCCATTCCATTCCATCCTATCCCATTCCATCCTATCCTATCCTATCCTATCCTATCCTAATCTATACACACACACAGACCACGTTCCATGGTCGGAGGCGACCTGCATTGGATATGGGCCTTCTACGAGTTCTATGGCGATGTAGACCATGTCCGTCCTTTTCTCGTTTCTCGTTTCTGCTCATCCCTTATAAATCCCTTATAAATCCCTTATAAACCTCTTTCAACGCCTTCAACGCTCTGGCTTTTGTTGTGCTTTGTGCTTTGTGCTTTGTGTGTGGTTGCTTTTGTGTGTGTGGTGTAGGTCTACGGTGTAAAAGCGTTTGAAGACGGTGAAGGGTTCGCTAATGCAGCTGGTACGTCGTGATAACTTCCTCACTTCTCGCAAGGGAACGATTACCCATCTCATATCCATCTCGTGTCAGCTGTCTTAAACGTCATTGAAAACATCTTCGGTGTACGTTCTCTCTCCCCTCTTCTCTTCCTGCCCTACTCCAACCCCCCATTCACCCCTTACCCCCTTACCCCATTCCCCCATCCCATCCCCTCCCCTCCCCTCCCCCCAAAAAAACTCCCCCCCAAAAGATCCTCTACCTCACCACAACCCACCTCCTCCCTTCCCCCCTCGCTCCTCTCGCAGGATACACCGGCTCAGCCATGACCCTCTCCAAAACCCTCCTTTACGTCTCTCAGGAGTATTTTTGTGGATTTTGCGCTATTGGGCATAATTCGGTGGCTGGGATGGTGGGGTATTGGGTGGTTCCGAATGTGTGCGTTGATTTGTTCACGAAGACTATAACTTTGACTCTTTCCCTTTGCAGTGCTTGGATAACGATATCGGGGTTGATAATGTATCACCTTGGGAAGGATATCGTACGGAGCTTGAGGGTGACTAGTACTAGGGTGACCAGTGGGAGAGTAAAATGCGAATAAACGAAGTGTGAATAACGGATAATATGCATGTTGTACCTTTTACCTGTCGTTTTCGTTTCGTTTCACGGTATCCCCATATCCCCATATCACCATATCCGCACTAGAGTGTTACCCAGTACATCAAGTACTCTTTACCACTTGTACATAGGTTATTTATTCATTCATTTATTTCAATGCAAAGTCAATAGCTGCTTGTCATGTTGACAAGGAAAGAGGGGGGTATAGCTCAGCTGGGAGAGCAGCAGACTGAAGTTCAAGGAGTTCAGGAGTTCACGAGTTCACGAGTTCTGAAGGTCCCGCGTTCGATCCGCGGTACCCCCAATCTTAATACCAATTTTTTTTGTTCGTTTTGTTCGTTTTTTGATTTTTTGAGTTTTTCATTGACATTTGAACATTGGCACTGAGCACTCAGCAGAATCCACCTGATCTCAGGTATTTCTTTTTTTTTTTTTGTTCAAGATAGGATAGGATAGGATAGGATAGGATAGGATAGGATAGGGATAAATACTATAAATACACTTGGTTGGAGTTGTCAACATATGAGCGGTGAATGTGGAAAATATAAAATATAAAATATGAGCATTATCGTTCCGTTCGTTCGTGCTTCAAATCTATGTACTGGGCAGTGGGGACCCAACTTCAGATTTAAAGCATTGATTTTGAGCGAGAACGCGCGCGCGGTTACATAATTCTGGCGGAAAAAGCGCCTCCCACGATCAAAAGAAGCGCTCTCAGGGAAATTCTGTTCAAAGCGACCAACCATCTCACAATGCGAACGTCAACTGTTCGACTGGCTGTATCTCTTTTAACCAGATCATACACTCTTCAAGAAGCCAATGCTGCTCTACTACCGCCAAAACCGTAAGCTCTTGTCGCGTTTGGCCGCTGGGCGACCCCGGGGGGGGGCTACCAATAACCAATACCCAAAAAAACTTAAAACTTTTCCCCACAGACTATTCCGCCACATCCTACGGTCTCATCGGAATTTATCACCGGAAATGCGGTCTCTAGGAGATGACTATGTGAAAGCTGGTTTGTAATTATTCTTCTTCTACTTACTACTTACTACTTACTACTTACTACTACTAACTATAACATTTCTCTCTGGGAATTGGTTTTTCACAAACTCACACAAACCTTCCCGGCCAAGTCTAGAATTCCGTCGTCATCGAGCAGTTACCAATCCAATTCATATCATCGGCTTTCTTTCGGAATGGAAACTCTATTTGGAGGGATTACCAGCTGCGAAGGATGGGGATGGGGAGAGGTTCTCAGGACAGAGATTAGATACGTCTTTGTTAGAAAAGGTGGGTTCGAGACTCAAGCAGTACTTATACAGCTTTTCTGCAATCTGCAATCTGCAATTCTCTGTAATGGTAATGAACCTCCCTCCCTCCCCTTTTCTCTCTCTAGATGTCTTCGGAGCAGCTGGGGCAGTTATACGAGTTAATGCAGGCTACGAAAGATGTTTGGAGAAGCCCCCTGTGAATAAGGTATGTAATAAACGGGAAAGATCCGGGGAAAAACTTTTTTAGTGATATGTATCGTTCCCTTCGGAAAACTATCGCGCTCCCCCCCAATCCAGATTCCAGACTGCTTATTTATAATTTTAGTACTCAAAACGCACACAATAGGTCATTGTAAACCCTCCGCCCTACCGCCTACCGGTATGCTATGTAATACGTATTTATCCATGTGAAAAGATTCTGCTTCCTCTTTTCCCCGGCTACGTGTGAGGAAAATATTAAGTATGATACAGTATCTATGAATCCCTTTTCATCATCGGAACTCTTTGAATCCCCCAAGTCCGCCAATACGTCAGATGTGATCACGTTGGTTGGTTGGGCTTTTTGGCTACATACTTAAAAGCCTGCTATAAATCCCTCGACAAACAAAATTTCCACGGTTCAAGTTTTATCGAGCCCTTTTACTCTCTCCTCTAGGCTCTTACTTATCAATCAATGTCGCAGTCAGCTGTGAGTGATACTAGTAACGATTCTCAAACTGACTGAAAGGGTTCAATTCCAACACAAAACTTCGAGGGGGCTTGTTTTAGTCGATTCCTAGTACCAACACCAACGTTGCTCCTCCTCCGTTCTCGGCTCTATCTTCGATTCATGCTTCGCTCCTTGAAGCTAAAGCCAAGAAAGGTGGGTGTGTGTGTGTGCATCTAGATCCTAATTGGATTCTAGGCTTTTGAGAGGATTATATGGTTCTGATATATATATATATATATTATATATTATATATTGTTTCATTATTCAGGCTTGACTTTCGAGGGGATAGGAAAAGCGATTGATAAAGATGAGGTTTGGGTAGCTTCTGCTTTTTATGGACAGGTCGGTAATACATACATACTACCACGCACGCACGCAGAAACAGTCCAACGACCCCTGACCGTTTCCCCCTTATTCTTATTTGCCCCCCCACAGGCCAAATTTAGCGCGGAAGAATTACAAAAGCTTGCAGAAGTTCTTGACCTTCCCCATGCAGAGTTGACTGCGGGGCTAGGTGATCATTGGTTCCCTTACCGTGGTCTTGGGTCTGCAGTTCCTACTGATCCCGTTGTGTATCGGTTATACGAGGTGCGCACTGCGCTCGTTTTACATTTACATTTACATTTACATTACATTACATACTTATTCGAGTTTTTAGGGGATCATGGTCTACGGTCATCCCATCAAAGTGCGTTTCTTTTCTTTTGGCTTTTTTTTTTCAGTAATCTTCCCTCATTCTGGACCCTTCTTCCTCCCTCCTCCCCCTTTCCCCCTTTCCCTCCTAAACCAGGCGCTCATTAACGAGAAGGTACTTAACAACGTTCGAGTTGAATCTGCGCTGTGAAGGAGGGCTTATCTTGATTTGTTTTAGTTCGGAGACGGAATCATGTCGATGATTGACTGCTATGTCAAGGTTGATAAGAAACCTGATCCAAAGGGTGACCGTGTTGTTTTGACGTTTGAGTACGTGGTTTTTTTTTGCTTTTTCCGTGGAGTGTTATTATGCATGAACTGATATGACGTGTGTTAGTGGGAAATTCTTACCGTATGCTCAGTGGTGAAAGGAAAGATTGTTGAACGTTGAAGGACGACTGAGAACTTAGTGGCTGTGTATATATATATATATATCAACTTGAATCTCCCCCTTCCACATGTACCGACTGCAAATTGGTATCTGAATATATGTAGTATCAAAGGATTGCTACATGTAGCGGGTAAATTATCCCTCAAATTCTTGGCATCAACATTGAAAATCGCCGGAAATCGGCTCACAGAGGTATGTAAGTACAGTATATAACGACCTGGACTCGGAGGGAAGTAAACTCCTACGCATCAAGTTTTCTTCAGCCCCGGTCTTCTCTCAGACGCTGGTTCGGTATGTGATCCATTGGATTTTCAGACTTTCTTTCTTCTTTCAATCTCTCGTTATCATAATCCGTTCAATACTCAATGATGCCTATATTGAAATAATCACTACATAGTCGCCAAAAAAAAAAATTACACGTCGTCGAAAACTCGCTGGAAGAAATTTAATTTCGAATTTTTCAGTGAGTCTACTATGTGGGATGTTCCCGAGTTGTTGATTGACTAGTTCATGGATTCTACCGCAGCACGACGGGTCGACACTTCTCGCTCTACTCTTTTTACCTCAAATACATCACCACAACCGCCCTTTTGAAATGCTCTCTCGTCGTTCATTGCACGGCGTCTTCGTTGCATGGCTCTTCCTCGCTAGTTTCTTCAATGTGATGGCTTCGCCGATGGGCTCATCCGAGAATCCGTTCCGTTCAAAACTCGATCCGCAATGTATGTCAACATCTTTCGATTATCTCTAGTCCAACACATTTGATCTTATCATCCCATTCTCCCTAGCCAAATCAACTCCGACAGGCAAACCTGAAGGTATGTCGGGTCAAATGGGTCTTCTCTTCTCGTTCAAATCGTTGATCTTTGCTCTGCTCGGTCCGTTTACACTAGACTGTAAAGGGTCTGTCGGATTTTATTCTGAGATAATAGGCAATTATGACCACGACCATCGTCCTACGGAACGATGGGGGGTTGTTTTGGACTGCCAGCAAGGCTACCGAACAGCAGCACCTGAAAAAGTAGAACCTTTTAATGCCCGTTCGTCGTTTCCAGACAACATCAACTTCTTTGGTATCAGAATTAACAAGGAGAAAATGGTTGACATCGGTAATACGTTGATTACAAAGGGACAAGGAAGAGACGAACCGAACAAATACCCTCTCACGGTTTGGTCAATATTGAAAAGCACGTATTCTAAAGATCTTTATGCGCCTGAGGATGTGGAAACGCATCTTGTGGAATGGATGAACAGGGAAGGGAAAGAGCATCAAGAAAAGTATGAGATGTATTTGCGAGAGGAAAAGGAGGGAAAGTGTGCGGGGTGTGCGAAGTTAACGAAACGGCAGGTCGAGGCATGTGCTCTGCGGGAGGAGGCGTGTGCTTAGCGAGACCAGGCGATGGTTAGATGCAAGAGGTTGGAGATCCCGGACCTGAGCCGTATAGTTCGAGGCTCGAAGGAACATGCCCCTGATGCTGGAAGGCTGTAGTTGATGTATGAACTTGCATTCATGTTGAGCTATGAAGGCAGATTGCGCTCTTTTACCTGCATAATTGAAACAGGATGCTCTCTCGCTTATGCGCCGTGCAGTTCCGTCGGTGTTCACTCATTGTATATTCGAACCATGGTTTTGGTCGATTGATCAAGATACTAGCAATACAAAAAGGATACAAAGAATTCCATAATGCTACAAAGGAATGTGTGGAGGCAAGTCCATTGGTAATGACATGGTACATATGTAGTGAAATGCATAAATGAAACACCAACAAGACATAATGCAATAAGGATTGAAAGGGAAAGAAAACACAAAGGGAAAAATGACGACAAGGTGACCAGCCCATGTCCTATAAAAAGTTCGACAAAATCAAGTAAAACCCAGAACAACCATCCATCTTCTTGACATCTCCCTGCTCCCTAGTTCCTCGGGCAACTCTTCAAGTGCCGCCTCAACGCATCGAGGCGGGAGAACGTCTTGATGGTGCATCTGTTTGGGCACAGTAACGAAGCGCCTCCTAGATGCTGAACCGACTTGATGTGCCGCTTCATCTCTCCCTGCCTCGTCGTCGTGTGCGAACACGAATCCCTGAACGGACAAATCAAGGTGATTTGACCTTGATGGCACATGTTGTGGTGTGCCTCAAGGTCTTCGAGGCTTGCGAATGACCGAGGACAGCCATCTATCCAACACGCCATTTCGGATACCGGAGAGAGGGAGCGCGAAGAGGAGGCAGGGCTGTCGA